TATTACAATTTTATAATGCAGATTATATAATATAATAATTAATATTTAAAAATTAGTAATTATATTAATAATTATTATTAAAATTTTAATTATTACTTTTATAATATTAGTATTATAACTTATTATGATTTTGAATTTCAAAATTTTATACTAAAATTATTAAAATATATTTTTATCTATTATTTGAGTTTTAATCTTTACTATTATACAAGTTTATTATTATATTAATTTTAGTTCTAAGATGTTTTATAATTCCAATTGTTATTTTTAATTTTTTTAATAATTTAATATTTTTAGAATAACAAACATAGTGGTAGACTTGGTAATAGTTATAATGTGTATAGTAGTAGACATAATAAATGTAGTAGTTGGCAGAGTGATTGGCAGAGTGATTGGCATAGTAGTTGGCATAGTAGTTGGCATAATAGTTGGTATAGTAGTTGGTATAGTAGTTAGAATAGTAGTTGGCATAGTAGTTAGCACAGTAGTTGGCATAGTAGTTGGCATAGTAGTTGGCATAGTAGTTGGTATAGTAATTATAATAGTAGTAAATGTAATATTAAACATAGTAAGAGTAACAATAGATATACAAGTTGTAATATTAAATATAGTAATAGATGTATTATTAGATATATTTAAAATAACAGTAGATGTATCAATTATTATATATATATATATATTTTTTATAAGCAGTCATACTAGTGCTTTATTAAGATTTTTGGAATTACTATTGCAATTATATAAATATATCTAACAACTAAGCCTAGCATCACTTAGCTATTCTAATAATATCAAAATGCAATTTGCTGCATTACCTTTATTTTATTTTATTTTTATTTTTTTTTTTTTTTTCCTTAAGCAGTCACGCTAATACTTTATTAAGATTTTGAAATTACATTTGCAATTACATAAATATCCTTAACACCTAAGTTTAGCATCACTCGGCCACCTTAGAGGTACCTAAGTGCAACCTGCTGCATTACTTCAAGCAGAAGTAAGCTACTTGTTTAACTACTTAAAGTCCATAATAGAAGGGTCTTCTCCTTTCTACGACAAGTCCCAAAATTGTCTTCTGTGTTTTTGTTCTAATTTGTTTTTCTTTTTCTCTTGTTCTTTCTTTCTTTTCTTCTATCTTTTGCTGATTTGCCTTTTTCTCTTTGCATGTTCTTGTCT